AGGTTCAAGTGATTCTCCTGTCTCAGCCTCCCTGGTAGCTGGGATTACAGGCGCCCACCACCACACCCGGCTAATTTTTGTATTTTTTTAAATACAGATGGGATTTGGCTATGTTGACCAGGCTGGTCTTAAACTCCTGACCTCAGGTGATCTGCCCACCTTGGCCTCCCGAAGTGCTGGGATTACAGGTGTGAGTCACCGTGCCCGGCCAGTAGGCAAAATCTTAATGCATGACTTTGTACTACCACAGCACATCTTCCTGACTCTTGGTATCTGACTCCCTGGAGACCATTTTTTGGGCTCTACTCCTCACCCTCCTGGAATCTACCAATTCTTTGTTAGCTCCCCTGATCAGTGTGCTGGCTGTCTTGCTCCAAAATCTGTTAATCAATTGTGGGTCATTCAAGGGCTTTTCAAAATGGAGGAAAAATAGTTTATTTTGTGGAGATTCCATTTTCTCTTTTCTTTTCCAAATTATTGGAATCTAGGTGAAGAAATCCTTCATCTAAAATACAGGGTCATGGATGCTATGAATCGGTTTGCTGAAACTGGAAAGGTAAAACCACATTTCTCAGACTACTTTTCATTTTCAGTTTTGGATGTATATTTGGTTTTAACATTTAGATGCACTCTTGGGACATTTTTAGCCAGGCTTTTAACTACAAATGCACTTTCTTTAATAGATACAGAGTTATTCAACAACTCTGATTAAATGAATGAACACCTTGAAAAACACAGACTACCAAAGTTCACCCAAAAAGAAACAGATGGTCAGGGGTGGTGGCTCACACCTGTAATTCCAAAACTTTGGGAGGCTGAGGCGGGTGGATCATGAGGTCAGGAGTTCAAGACCAGCCTGGCCAACATGGTGAAATGATGTCTCTACTAAAAATATAAAAATTTGCCAGTCACAGTGGCTGACATCTGTAGTCCTAGCTGCAAGGGAGGCTGAGACAGGAGAATCACTTGGACCTGCGGGGCAGAGGTTGCAATGAGCCAAGATGGCACCACTGCAATCCAGCCTGAGTGACAAAGTGGGACTCTGTCTCAAAAAATAAAAATAAAAAAAAAGAAATAGATAACCTGAATAACTTTTTCTGATATTGATAATTTGTATTGTTCCTCGTTTTTTCTCCACAGATTAGTCAGGCTAGAGGTTTATTGGTTTTATTAATCTTTTCATTGATTTCTTTCTTCTATTTAATTCGGGTTTAGTTTGTTCTTTTTTTGCTAGCTTTTAAAGATAAAAGCTGAAGCTATTGATTTGACATCTTTATCCACTTCTTTAAAAAAAATTAATAGCTAGTTTAGTGACACAAAGAAAATAAATTGTGCTTCTTCAGCAGATAAGTCCTGATTGACAAAAATCATGTAATATACATATGATTAAAAATTCAAACAAATGCTTACAGAAAAGAAAATGAGTATCCCTTCCTTTCTGCTTCCCATTGTCCCTCTCATAAGGAATAACCTCTCCTATTTACTTTTTAAAAAATTCTTAAGTTGATACATAATAATTGTATGTATTTATGGGGTACATGGGATATTCTGATACATGTATACATGCATAATGATCAAATCAGAGTATTTAACATACCCGTCACCTCAAACATTTACCATTTCTTTGTGCCTGGTAACATTTCAAATCTTTTCTTCTAGCTATTTTGAAATACACAATATGTTAACTATAGTTACCCTACTATGGTATTGAACACCAAACTTATTCCTTCTATATAACCGCATGTTTGTACACATTAATGTGGCCACACCACATTTTCTTTATGCATTTATCCATCGATGGATTCAGATTGATTCCATATCTTGGCTATTGTGACTAGTGCTATTGTTTTCCATAATAGCTCTACTGATTTACATTCCCATGAGCAGTGTATCAGAGTTCCATTTTCTACACAACTTCACCAGCATTTGTTATTTATTTATTTATTTATTTTTTGGATAGTAGTCATTTTAACTGGAGTAAGGTGATATCTCATTGTGGTTTTGATTTGCATTTCCTTGATGATTAGTGATGTTGAACATTTTTTGATACACCTGTTGCTTATTTGTATGTCTTCTTTTGAGAAATTTCTATTCATGTCCTGTGCCCAGTTTTTAATGAGATTTTTTTTTTTAAGTTCTTTTGGGCTGTAAGTTTAATGCAAAATAATCCTCTCCAATTTTACTGAGGCGGCTGACTACCTCCACAACCAAATCCGCCTCTAAACTGGAATTCGGTTGCTGACCCATTCCCAGTCTCAGCCTTCTTGTTGGCATCAGGGGGCACAGCAATCCGCCTGTAGGTATCTCTGTCGGCTTCCCCTCTTGTGAGTCTTGCAGGTCGCTCACCCTTCAGACCTTTAGACTGAGGCCTGCCAGTCTCTGGATGGCTGCGGGGTAGGGTGGCAGGCACAATCTCCGGGGCAGATGAAGATAATCACGGAGATACTGGATGCCCTCATCGGTAAGGTACCAGGAGAAATGTCTCCAGGCAAACTGTTCCTTCACGTAGCCTTGGGACTTGGGAGACTGCATGGCCTTCAAGACATGAAGGTTGGGCACATCCTTGTCTGCCAGTTCCAGGTGCTTAGGCATATGGACATCTTTCTTGGCCACCATGACTCCCTCCTTAAAAAGGAGTTCATACTCAGCACTTTGGGAGGCCGAGACGGGTGGATCACGAGGTCAGGAGATCGAGACCACCCTGGCTAACACGGTGAAACCCCGTCTCTACTAAAAAGTACAAAAAACTAGCCAGGCGAGGTGGCGGGCGCCTGTAGTCCCAGCTACTCGGGAGGCTGAGGCAGAAGAACGGCGTGAACCCGGGAGGCGGAGCTTGCAGTGAGCAGAGAGATCCGGCCACTGTACTCCAGCCTGGGCAACAGAGCGAGACTCTGTTTCAAAAAAAAAAAAAAAGAGTTCCTAAATGGGAATCCAGTTCTTCTTAGGCATCAACATCTCGGCAGCTGTAGGGTCCGGATCCGGGTCTGGGGCTGGAAAACTTCTTTCCTTTCCTTTCCTCTTTCCTTTCCTCTTTCCTTTCCTTTTTCCTCCTTTCCTTTCCTTCCCTTCCGGGTCTGGGGTTGGAAAGCTACCTCTCCTCTCCTCCCTTCTCCTCCCCTCTCCTTCCCTCCCCTCCCCTCCCCTCTCCCCTCCCTCTCTCTCT